GGTAATACGTAATTCACGAAGGAATTGTAAGATATGGAATCAGTAATCCTTCCAGATCATTTGTCATTGTAAATGGTCAAATATCCAGATTCTTCATTCTCATTCAAAAAGTCATATGGAAGCTAAAATAGTGAGCGAGAGAAAAAAGAAGACAAACAACAGCAATGCATAGGAAAGCAAGTGGAGTCCTCAAGGAGTGATCAATAATATTTTAGAGGTTGACGGTATAGACGTTCGCGAACAGTACTGGGTATATTAACGCAAGCTCTTGTACCAACAACTTCTAATGTATTTCACTCTCGCGTACCAAAGGCAGCAAAGCAAAAGACAGTATTTGGTCGTCCAAATTATGCGATATATTTCGGGACCAAAACGAGTTGTTAGACGAACGCTTAGCTGGCTAGTGATCGTACACGAACGTGACACGACGGAGTACCTAATGGCGGGGATGCTTGACCAAAAGCCTTCAGATAAACAAGTCGACTTAAACAGTGGTGGTCAGCATCCAATGTTCAGTGATGATTGCTGTGGTCAATAATTTGGGGGAATTATTTACCGCTACAATATAAACCCATTTAAAAAAATTATACAACTTTGAAGCAAAGTTACGAAACGAGATCTCTTTGCTGACTTGTGTTTGTCTGTGCGTTATTTTTTAATAATATCAATTAAAAAATATCAGACACTGGTTTATAAAACAATGAAGTAAGCCTGTTGTACTGTGGAGGTTACATTATCCTTCTAGTTAACATTTTCAGCAATAAATTCAGTGTGTCCGAGTGAAATCTAAATGGTAAGCAATGAGATGTTATATGGACAATCGTGTGGCTAGCCAGTTGAAGAGGACACCAGAGAATAGAACAAAGTGGAAATGTGTTGTTGAAGCCCTGACTATGTTCGACTCAGAGCCCACCTACATAAATGACTTGATACGATCGAGTGTGGGTAGACTTTGGTTTCCCCTCTAAGTGCTCTCATGTGGTCACGTATTCATAGTTTCTGCTGGGTAAGTTCTGTTCATTGGATTCACGCAGACAGGATGTTAATCACAAAATTGAAAGTGTGAATACTAACTTTTAGAGCCTACAACTGAACCTTTGGTCATGCATGCTATTCCACCTAGAGGAGTTGGAAAAGCCGGATTTAAAACTTAAAGTGCATATCAGCTACAAAATGGAATTAGATCGAAAGGCGAATAAAGTTGTTTTGGTCACCTGAAACCATTGGAATGTATCTCTTGACTCTGCTCCACTGCTTTGTGGATCAAACTTCATGACAAGGGCTCGGAGGTGGCTGTTTAAGACAACGTGCTCCGGTCTGGGCGTCCAAAATGTACTCCACCTCTCATAAGAACTAGGTGCTCATAATTTGCAAAGTTTTTGTTTAAATAATAAAAAGCACCCTGAACTGACAGGATTATATGTCGGTCGTACCTAGTGTTTGTTATCCACACCTCTCAGTTAACAATTATTTTCGTCATTTTATAAAGGGGAGAACCCCCCCTCCGCCACAGCTCAATCCTGGAACACCTCATCGAATCTGGACACCAGGCTAACTAACCCATATAGGAACTTCAAAGTCATCCACAGAATACATGGGAATCTCGCTAAAGGTATAAGAGTCAAACTTCTTCAAACCCAGTAGAAGCAATGACAATTCATCACATGTTAAATCTTAAACTCCGCATACAAAAGGAAGTTTGTCCATTCATTATTAAATCTACAATGGACCTGATCTATCTTAACACCAAATATGTAATTTCGTTTCTTAAATGTATTAATTTCTCCCGTCAAGCGCCTACCAAACCTCTACTCCTTGTTACAACTGTTGTTGACTTGACCCTCGTTCAAATTTCGGTTAAGTTCTACTCAATCCCGTCAATTATATTACGTCACTCAATTCACTCATTGAATTTTATTCTGGTTCATTCCTGAATAACGCTTTCAAACACTGCGTATTTTGTTATCTAAAATTTCCAACTATATTGACACATCTTCGGAAATATTCCCCTTGCTCCTAAGACAATTTACTACATCAAAACATGCGATTGTTTAACTCGACAATGAATGATATCTCTGAAAAGAGGAGTAACACTCCCCTGAAAACATTTCCTTTTATATGACTCAATAGAATTTTTTAAATTACAATTGTCTTACGGTGAAATGACACTATACTTTTATCCTAGAGAGAGTAAAGGACGCACTGGATACAGAATTCCGACCAGAACAACCTGGATTCAGGAAAGTCAGGCAAATCATGTTCTGACCAAATTGCAACTCTACGCATCATCGTCAACAAACAAAGCATGGAATGACAATCAAACCTCTACCTCAACTTTATACACTTTAGGAAGGCCTTCAACAGACAGCGTTGACCGCGAAGTAATTTGGAAACTACTCGAGTACTAAAGCGTACAGTGCCCCAAATATTCATTAACCTTATTCAACAGCTGTACGACAACAACGGCACATGTCAAGTCATCCACAACAGAAAACTCAGTGAGGTGTTTGGAGTAAGGGTGCTGGCTTATTATCACCAATGAATGATATTCCTAATTGTGGTGGAATGACTGGATTATGCGTCAGACAGTGGGAAACGAGAAGACAGGGATATCCTGGACCGACGTGAAGAACCTAGAAGACCTGGATTTCGCGCGTGGATGATTTATGCTTGATGTCACACAAAATCGAAGACTTGCAAGCGAAAACCGACAAACTGGTCAAAGAAGCAGCCGGCGAAGACAAGAGTCCAGCTGAACATAGACAAGACGGAGGTTATGAAAATAACCAACCGACAACACGAACAACAACAGCAGCGACATCCAGTGTCAGTCATCCACCATCAACGAGAGGGATTTGAAAGAGGTTACTTCATTCACTTATCTAGCTAGGGAGCATTGTCCCAACTACAGCCAGTCGGAACGGACGAGGATGTCAAATAGAGCGAGAATCGGGAAGGCAGGCAGGCGAGAAACACACACATTCATCAACCTGAAACTACCAATCTGGAAATCTTCGTCACTCAGCCAGAATCAACAACAAAATTCGGTCGAATTTCAATACAAACCTGGTCAAGTCAGTCAGTTCTTCTATACGCAACGGATGAGAAACTTGGCGGGGGGGGGCGGGTGACAAAGAATATTTCCAACAGACTATTGCAGACCAGACCTTTATCAACAACTGTCAACTATCGCTCTATACTGAATATCATAGATAAGATTTTATTTTGATAAATCACACAATGTTGTACAGTAATATTAACTGATGACGTTTCGAGCACAAACTATTGTTCATAATCATATCAAGTTGAGGATCTGGATTTTGCAGATTATTTCTGTTTAATGTCATACAAACTCAAAGACTTGCAGGCGAAAGCCGACAAACTAGCTGAGAAAAAGCATGTAAAGACATAACTCAAAGTGAACACGAAAAAGGCGGAGGTGATGAAAATACCCACATACTAACAGCAATGACAGCAAACACCAATCACCGTCAACGGGACAGATTTGACAAAGGTTACTCATTTCACTTATCTCATCAAGCAGTATGCTTTCAACTACAGACCATAGCACGAATGAAGATGTCAAAAACAAGCCAGACAAAACTGGAATGACAGTTTGGAAATCTTGTGCACTGCACTCTGCCACAGCATAAAGAGCAAGAGGATTTGGGTTTTCAGCACGGCTGTGAAGTCAGTCAATCAGTCAGTTCTCCTGTGTGGGTCGGAGAATTGGCTAACGCATCACGAAAAGCATTTCCAACAACTTGCTGTAGACTTTTATCAATAACTGCTAACTTCGCTGATTCTATATTGAAGGTAAAATGACCGGTCAGAAATAACTAGTGACAAGAAACTCTGGCTGGCTGGCTGGCTGGGAGAAAACAGACCAAGACGTCATTGCTGAACAAATATGTAGGAGGGAAATGTAGATGGATTGGGCACAGACTGAGGAGATCATGGAATGACATCGCGCTGAATGTGGGCCATCGGTCAAGTGGAAGATGAATGTGAAACGATGAGTGGGTCGTCGGTACGTGAGTGATATGGAGGAGATTGTGTGATTTGGAGGAGGAGACAAGAGACTATAGGCAATCGTGCGCTCAGCTGAAGAGGATAGGACAGAGTGAAGACACGCCGCTGAAGCTATCTTTTCGCCTCAGAACCCAACATAACACTAATAATTATATCATCAGTCAAGTGATACCGCACTCAATACTCCGTTGGAAAACGAACTACATTTCAGCCAATTAGAAATGTTAACTGACTACAGTGTAGTGTGAATGTGACAAACTTGAATATGAAGACAAATAATTCCTAGTAACACCGGATATCAATGGTAGTATATTAAAAATCGACAACAGTAAAAATCGATGGGTGATTTGGCAACTACTTCGCTACTACGGGATCCCATCGACAATTATACATCTCATCCAATCCAACAGTTATACGACAATGCTGCATGCCGCCAAGTAATCCACAACGGGAAACTTACGGAAGCCATCGAAGTGAGGACGGGAGCGAGGCAAGGCTGTCTATTATCGCCAATGATCTTCCTGATTGCAGTAGAGTGGATAATGTGACAGACAACGGGAAATGAGGAAACAGGCATAAAATGGACTCGCACAAAAAAGAACTTGGAGGATCTGGACTTCGGCGTTGATATATGTCTGATTTCCCACAAACTGGAAGATATGCAGGTGAAAAGCAACAAGTTGGAAGAAGAAGCATCCAGTGAAGATAGGCCATCAAGTGAACATCTGTCTGTCTGTCTGTTTTCGACATAGAACTTTGCACAAATGTGCGGAAGTTCAAGTCGCCACATTCCGTGTAGCACGCGAAGCAAGAGAAGAAAGTACAAGAAAAGCATAATAGAAACAGTGAGCAGAGGTGTGAGACAAAGGAGTAATAAAGAAATACAAAACAGTTTCATTGAAGATCATAAGTCACAGGGAGTGGATGCATCTGCGCCACTGAGAACGATTTTGAGCCATGTCACCAATTGTTTCCAACCATAGATTTTTACCGTCCCGAGGACCCCAGCCTGGAAGTCTACACCTTCCTACGTGGCTTAGACCAACTGTTGTGGATTTCATTGACTGATGCCAAGTTTTTGTTTGACCGCCGCTAGCTTTTTTCCAGCCTGACCCTATATCCGCTAACATTGCTCGTCGAGGGAGGCGATGACTTGGCATACGTAACACATGTCCTAACCATCTCAGTCTTTGTAGCTTCACGACTTCGTCGATTGATTTCCCCTGTTTACCTAGAACTCTACGCCTAACCTCCATGTTGCTCACCTTATTATGCCACTTTACACGGGAAATAGAACGCAGGCACCTATGATCAAAGACAGCTAGTCTTTTCATGTCTTCCACTCTCAGTGGCCAGGTCTCACAACCATAAAGGAGGACGGAGCGGACTGATGAGCAGTACACCCGCCCTTTGGTCGATAGTCGAACATCTCGTCTACGCCAGAGTCGGCGTAAACTAACAAATGCGAAACGAGCCCCTTGTATTCGTGCTGAGATTTCGTCAGAGATCAGCCCGTTGGGGCTGATGGTACTTCCCAAATAAGTGAAGCGGTCAACGTGCTCTACCACTTCACTTCCTATTTTTAAACTAGGCGTCGATGTAGTCCAGTCCTGTAACATCATCTTGCATTTGGCGGGGGCGAATCGCATGCCAAACATTCGTAGATTGCAGCTCAAGGTGTTTAGAAGACTCTGCATTTTGTCAGCGTCCTCGCCTAGAAGGACTATATCATCTGCATATTCCAAGTCAACGAGATTATTCCCCGGTAGCAAGTCAATTCCTGAGTCACTGAAGTCACCTAGGGTTAAGTCCATTAACACATCTATGATGAAGTTGAATAGAAAAGGAGATAATGGGCATCCTTGATGGACACCACTAGTCGTCATCAGTTCAGATGACAGCTCGCCGTAAGCCCTCACCTGGCTGTATGAGTACGAATAGAGTGCCTTAATTAGTGCAATATATTTTCTTGGAATTCCCTTTACAGCCAAGCATCTCCAGAGAACTTCCCGATCGACAGAGTCGAATGCTGCCTTTAGGTCAAGAAATATAATGACTGTTGGACGCCGGTAGGAATCCCTATGTTCTAGAATCTGTCGGAGGATGAAGATATGATCAATACACCCTCTTCCTGGTCTAAAGCCTGCCTGGCTCTCTCGTGTTTGTGCTTCCCGAGCACCACTCAGTCTACGCATGATTATTGAGCCTAAGACTTTAGATACTATATTAGTCAAGCTAATCCCTCTGTGATTATCACAGGAAGACTTGTGAACATAGATAAAACAGAGGTGATGAAGATTCCTGGCCAACAACAACAGACAACAATCAGCCAGAATAAATGGGAGGAGCCTGAAAGAAACAACCTCCTTCACCTACCCGGCAATCATCATTTCAACTACAGGCGGGCGAAAATGACGAGGATATCAAAGCCAGAATCGTTAGAGCAAGACAAGTTTCATTACTCTCAAGTCTCTGTGAAGGTCAACAGCACTCAGAATCAAAAATAACATCCGGATTTTGAACTCACTATACGGATCAGAGACTTGGCGCGTCATAAAAAGCACCTCAAACAAACCTCAGACCTTCATTAACAGCTAGCTGCATTCGCTCAATACTTCACTCAAGATTAGATGGCCGGCCAGAAAAGATCAGCAACAGGGATCTCTGGCAATCAGCGAACCAACACAGCAGGAACCGATTGTGCAACAAATAAGCAGGAAGAAATGGAGGTGGATTGGCTGGCCATGCTCTGAGAAAACCAACCATCAAGTGAGTAACATCACTAGACAAACCATGGCTCTAGTGGAACCCGGTTGGGAGGCGGCGAGTTGCTCGTCAGCGTGAGGGTGACTTGGAGGAGGTCATGTGAAGAGGAGATGAAAGCATGTGGGCAGACTAGGAGCGGAGTGAAAAAGTTGGCAGGAAACCGAAGGCAATGGAGACGCGCAGCTGAAGTCCTATGTTCCTCTAGGAATTTAAGGATATAATAATAAAAAGAGGAACAATCAATGACCCTGGTAGTTGAAAGCCGTGTATTCGACCGTTGATACTGAACTAGCCCCCGAACTAGGCCGACAAAAGATATCCAGTACTCCTTCCTTTTTTTGAATGAATCACTCAAAAGAAAAGTCATGCTATATTAGGTAGGTAGGTATTTTTACTCATTTAATATTTCTTCTTATTTATATTTCAACATAATGAAAATAAAATAAATTTACTGATTAAATATTGTAGCATTAAAAGTATTATTATTATCAGTAATTATTAACAATAAAAGATACATTTTTGATAATGATGATGATGACGAAAAACCTTTTTTGTTTTGTTTAAATTCATCAATTTCACTTTACAACATTATTGCGCCTAATTTAAAAGTGGGAAATTAAACTTATAATAAAGTGGAAAAAAAGCCAAATACCAACCAAAAAACAATCACACAAACAAATGTAACAACTGAACAAGGGAAATATCAATTAGATTTTACTATTTAATAATAATAATAATTAAAATACACAAAGTAAAAAGAGAAATAAAGAAGGTTCACAATTGTTGAAGCTTTCTTTGACATTTTACCCCATTTGTCTTACTGGCCCAAGCGCTCGATTATTCTCACCTAGTCTTTGTTTTATATATTGTGATGATCAATAGAGATTCTAGCATCATAATTAATGACTAGTAAAAGTAGGATGTAAGTGTCAGTACTGAAACTTCCTCGATCTTCATTACTATTATTATTATCATTATTATTATGCTTCGGAATTTTATATGATTACAAGTAAGCGAAGAAAGATATGAAAGTGTACCCCTAATATGTACAGTTGTTCTTTCTCTCTTTCTTTCTTTTTTCATGGACTAGACGAAAGAATGACAACAGCAATAACAACAACAATAAGATGAGTAGCGAAGACGTCTCACAATCATACCCACCTCCTCCTCATCACCATCAAACCAACAAATAAATAAACAAGAAAAACTTTTGTTCACAGTATGAACATATAAGGGCATCCTGTCTCTCTACGTGTGGAGGATATCTATGGGGAATAATTAATGATGATGATGATAATAATAATGAAAGGTGAATGTTGTGCAACGAAGTTCACCTTTTTTGAACTCTACGTCATCACTACTGTCAACGTCTCCATACCTCTTGTTATTACTACTATCATTTGACTGAAGTGTCAATTAAAGTCTGTTTACAATAACTTGAGAAAATAACCTTTGCAAAAGAAACATTTTGAGGAAAGTATATAATAAAACTCAAAAGAAAGTAGGACAGGGAAGGGACACGAGGCGAAGAAGAAGACAGACAGACAGAGGAGATCACAATGAAGGCTAAGAAAGAGTTGGATAACAGACAGAAATCTGTAGATATGTTCTCTATGTACAAGTGTGTTGTAATCACTCTAGTCTACTGTAATAATATTAATAATAATATGTATAATACACAGTTGAACTGATTCAGAAGAGAGGCAAAACAAAATGCAAATCCATTGAATGAAATCATTTTAACAGACAACTGATATTGAAACCTCTTTTCTGTGAATTGATTTGATGATTTAAAATAGGCGCTGTAGATGAAGATGGCGACAACGACAATGACGATGGTAATGATGAAGGACAAGACAGATTTGTTGAATGGCTGATTTCATCTTCAATAGTTTCATGCTTAGCATTGTCGTCAGTCTTGTTTCCATGAATAGGATATAGTAGATTCTTGTTAATTGATGTGGGCATTGAGTAATTGTCATTTGATTGTCTAGGGATTATTGACTCATGTATTGAAGGGAAGAATTTTCTGTCAATGTGTTGTTTCTTTTTGGGCTGTTTTTTAAAAATAATTAAGAGGAGAAAATAATGAAAATAATATTGATAATAATAAAACTCATCGCTAATGACTACCATTCACTCAAATGTAAATAAATTGTTTTCTTATAAGTCATTTTTAAGTGTCTAAGATCAGAAGAAAAACACTAGCTACCATTTGAAGACTTGTCAAACAGTTGAATGTTAGACAGCTTACCAAACACGGGGATGACCTAGGTTCGATTTCCAAAATTGAAGTACTCACCTAGTCGATAATAAGCTGAGTAACGTTAACAGTACCACCGCTAATATAAATGAAAAGCTTGAAGGCAGAGAATTTCCACCTACACGATGAAGTCGTGCGATTAAATCTCCATTGACTGTCACACGGTGTGGCGGTGGCACAGTGGTAGAGTGCTTGCCAACCACTCAGAGGGCCAGGAATTCGATCCCCGGCTACTGACACATTCCTTCACCTCGTTGAGCCATTGGTGAGACTGGTAAAAAGGGGAAGGTTGGGCATGAGGCTGCCTAGCAACCCCCATCCCGTAAAAAAATAAATACGACTGCTACCGAAACTTTAAGCCTTTAGCTTGAAGTAGCCCTCTGTTCCAGTGGGAACGTAGAACGAATAAGAAATTGACAGCCATATACTTTCCCTCATGCGCCTTTATAGGAATTCAGACTGTTCCTGCATTTCCTTCATGTTCTCAGTGGAACATAGGGCCTCAAGGTGGTGGCTTGAAGTTTCTGTAGCGGTGTTTAATTTTTACAGGATGAGGTTGCTAGCCAGCCTCATGTCCAACCTTACCTCTTTACCAGCATTATTTCTGGCTTAGCGAGGTAAAGGAGTGCGTCGATGGCCGGGGATCGAACCCCAGACCATGTGGATTGTCGGTGAGCGTCCTAACCGCTATGCCACCGACGCACCGTGCTGCGTTTCCTCCTATTTATTAATTCATCCATCACCCGCCTGCTGAAGATTTTTTGAAGAAGACGTCACCCTGTATCCCACTTACAAGTTCTTATCAATAATTTGAGTCATAATGATATATCAGGCCATTATTGATTAAAAAAATACATCCGCTGTTTCTGTAAGATGCAAACAGCCTAGTTCGTTCAGCATTCTATGACTCTAAAAGCTTGTTAAGCTGAATATTATCCGAGGAGAGCAAAACTGACGAGGATTGGTGTAATGTACAGTAACATGAGATTACAGCCTTTTTTATGAATTAAATCCGAAATTCACAGTAAATATCAGCCAACCTGTAAACAGGAATACACGGTTGTTTTTTTAAATGACAACTCTCTTTTACAGTGAGATTTCCAGTTGCATAAATATTATCATAAATTTTCTGAGAGAAGTCACACATTATACTGTAACAATAGAAGACAAGGGCCAGGAAACAGACCGTTTATATTTACGAAATCAACAGATATTTATAGATTTTCATGTACATTAATATAGATTATTTTAAGCAAACAAACACAGTCTTCTGATTGGTGGTAGTTTTTTGCTGAACGTTAATCTTTCATCTCTTTGTGACCGTTTATTGAAGTTCAGATTGTCTTTCTGCAAGCTGTATCCGCCTACGCAAACAAAGTTTGCTGTGATTGATTGTCGAGTCAGTCTTTGTTCATTTTTTTCTCACGACCAATATTGAGGATGTAAACATTGACATAAATTGCTTTCTACCAATTTGGCTAGCAGCCAGCTCTCACCACAATATCACTTGTGCTCTTTAGTATTCTGAGTTGTACGCGCTGTTATAGTATTTACCATATCGTATAAAGAAGGTGCCAACAGTTCCTTAGAAAATGCCTTATTCATACAAATGCAGTTCCTTGGGGGCAGCATCAGCCAGATACTAACACAACGCTTAGGGAATACGGCGGTAAAAAGAGCATTCCCTGCTGCTGCTGCTGCTGCTGCTGAATTACGCTGTGTCTTCAAAACCACCCACTCCTATTCTGTGTTCGGGAGTAAAAGACAAACTGCCTAATTTCGCCTCTTCTATGTGTATCTACTAATTTAACTGCTCCTGTGGTGTGAACCAGTTACTCGCATAGGCTATACAATTACGCGTGTTTCTCGACAGATTTTCAAACATCACCCAGCATAGTGGTTATGTAAAGGACAAACAAAATCTATTCGTAGCGCCATTCTATCTCATCCTGTGGGTACAGAACACAAGAATGATGTTAACCAGGCTTTCAAAGTCATTTACTGCATACCTACGAATCTTAATTTTGCCTTAAGAATTAGATTACTAAATATTGCTGAGACTGGCTGTTGGGATCAACATCAAGAAGTATAATTTTTGCGTCCAAAAGAAGCTGGTTCAGACATTATCTTTGCCTTGGCCATCTAGGTTTGAATTATCCTCAATTTTTGTGGAATGTTTCTAATTTTAGTTGATATTCTATTTGCTGTTATATCTTTACTATTATTATTATTATTTAAGCATCTTTAATGAACTGTGATCCCATTGATCTTACTTTACAAATCGATATTATTTGAAAAGACCAATATTGTTATTGACTACTAATCTAGAATATTCTATGTATATAAACCTATGTACATATAAATGTACAGTCAGAAGAGGAGGAATTTATCGAAAAGGATATTCTTTGCACAATTATTTTGCGTTTTATATAAAGAAGTTTCAGAATATACAGCCCCCAGTATAACGAACAAGATCCGAATTTTCAAAGATGATGTCGACTTAGTCAGGGTTTCTGTACAGTTCACAAATGCGGTACACGCGTTGTGGTGAGATCTGGCTGCCAGCCAAAATGGTAGAAAGTAATTTATGTTAATGTTGACACCTTCAATATTGGTCGTGAGAAAAATAAGAACAAGGACTGATTTAACAACCAGCCACATCAGACTTTGCGTAGGCGTGACTAAAAGCATTACTAACAGTCTGTTGCAAACTTTCATCAACGGCTATCTTAGATCCATACTGAAGATATTTTGATTGGATTCTAGTAAGTAGTGTGATGTGTCAATCCCTATGTTTGGTGCACAGTAAATTCTATCGTCAATCACGTTTGCAATGTAGCCGCGAATCTAGGTGACTCATCATCATGGTGTACTTTGAATTGTTGATATTAGATGGTTGGAGGCAATCGGAAGGAAACCTTGCCTACACCTAGGTTTCGTGATAGTTGGAGCTGACCAGTCAACAAGGCATATCTACACCCTTGAAGGAACTCATGTCCCTTCTGAGATTTAAACCTACGTCAGCCATTAAGTGCTGCAGTCAGACATGTTACCAGCAGTCTGCCTCAAAGATAGGACTAGATACATTACACTAGTTACTAGTGTCCAATCAAAATATCCACTACAGTCCTACAGGAGGTCAATCACAAGTCCGAATAGCTCAGTGGTAATGTCTCAGACTGCAGCACTCACTTCGTGACACAAGTTCGAATCTCAGAATACACATGAGTTCATTTAAGATTTCAGATATACCCTACTCATTGTTGAGTGCCAACTAGCACAAAACCAAGGCCAAGCTGGGCTTCCTTCCGATTACCTCTAACTATCTGATATTTACTGATATTTACTGAAGATAAGATAGCTAGCTGGAAAGGATAGATAACAAGGAGTCAAAAGCCGAGTTAAATGTGTGTCCAACGTAATTATGTAAGGCGAAACTAAAATCTTATGAAGGAAGAATCGTAGAGCCATCTAATCAAAACTTCAGAGAATACGTTGAAGTGATGATTTATTGCCGAAGTCTGATATCCCCTTCGGAACCCAAAAGAATAATAGTAATATTAACAAGTGTTCCACAATGGCTTTTAAGTATAAACACAACCGTGTGTCAATGGCACAGCGGTAGAATGCTCATCAGTCACGCAGGTGGTCCAGGGTTCGATCCCAGGCCGCCGACGCACTCCTTTACCCCTCTAAGCCAGTAATAGCACTAAGTAAATTGGCAAGTTTCGGCTTGAGGTTAGCAACTCCATCCCGTGAAAACTGAAACTTCAAGCCTCTAGCTTGAAGTAGGTCTTTGTTCTCCTGGGAGCGTAAGCGATTAAAAGTAAAAATAAATAACCTATACACTGAATCGATGAATATTTTCATAAAATTATTAAAAAAAATTATCCCATAAAATAACTTACAGAATACTCTACTTTTAATCCATCGAAAGTAGTACAACTCTGTACTGTAGCAAGCTCTTCCTCTTGACAATGCCTATTCATCTCTTCATAATTACGTTTTAAATTCTCTGAAATCATTTGAAAATCCCCTCGACTAAGGGCTGAAATTGCGCTGAAAGCAGATGATGACACTGCAAACTGAGGCAGTTGTTGAAGGTAGTTTGTCGGAGTTGGTGTCGGTGTAGGTGTTGATGTTTTAGTCACTGTTCTCAGGGATTTCGTTGAAGACAGTAATGAAGACGAGTCAACAATAGACAGGAATGGTAAGCCAGGCGTTATAAATCCCTTGCTGTTATTATTAGGAGTAGTAGTGAAAGTGGTGGTATTAGTAGTACAACTACTACTCATAATAGTAGTATGTGCATCACCAAGTTGATTACTCTGACAGTGATATTGTGTTGATAGCTGATTTTGGATATCAGTAGTATATTGGTCAGTAGATAAATTATTGATTTTATCCAATTCAGTTAAATACACTGACTTGCATATTTTTGGACAATGATGTACAGTATGCTGACTTCGTGACAAACTTGTCGGGATAAATGTACCACTAGTTGGTGGTGATATATGATCGAAACAACCTATAATAAATGAATGTATAAAAGAAATATGAAAATGGCATTAGTAATTTCAGTAGTATAATAGTCAACTTCTTATTTTATTCCTCAGAATTCTAGATGGAACAAACGGCTTCAAGTTTGAGCTTTAAACTTTCAGTGGCAGTGGGTTTTTTATTTTTACAGGGTGGGAGGGTTGCTAATCTCACGCCCGACCCTTCCTCTTTACCTCTAGCTTATTATGCAGTAAGCAAATTCGGGAGTGCATCAGTCAGGGATTGAGGCGTGATTAGCGAGTATACTGCCGATGAACAACTGACGCATAAAACAAACCTCCCACATCAGGGTTTGAAGATAGGATCTTAAGATTATGAGGTGACCTTATTGACTATTCAGCCACCGTCTTATTCCGCTAAAAACGTTGTACTCCAGATAAGTGGTTAAATGGAATTACTTGAGTTTTAATTATTTGGTTAATCTTGATCAGATGGCGGTTTGTTTGAATCATTAACCTAACCATCTGATCTCTCATCCATCAGAATGTACCAATCATCATATTAACTCTATTTCATGTTATTTTAATTATCCAGTTAAATCCACTGAATCTTTCCAAATGTTGATTTGTGAGAGTTTTTATTGGTTATAAGTTTGCTCATCAGCTGACATCACAAAAAGAACCAATGGAGGACCATCGGAGAGTACTGGACAGATGTTTTACCCCAGTGCTTTGAACTGACACTTCATCAGTAGACATCCACCAATGGGATTCGAACCCAGGACCTTCTGGTAACAAGGCGATGTTATAGACCATTTAACCACTGAGACTCGATCCAATGGCGAACCTATGAATTCCAACTTCTGCTAATTCGTGATATTCGACGCAGCCATCAATGGTTCTCTAACCGAGATCATCTTGTGACCAATCAAATCCTTGCGAAACTAACAGTTAAAAATTAATTTGATACTCATTAGTGACTGACTGTACACAGGAAACCATCATCTGAAGTTCTAGCGAGAAGTCGTGACCAGTGAGATTCACCAAGTCTGGCAAGAGGATAGTCACTGACTCATGACAGTGGCTAATGGTTGAGCCAGACGATGTTGAAATTCATAGGCGGGTCACGTAGTCCATGATTCGATTCCTGACCAGGTCCAGTTTACTAGCTGATAATAAGCCAAGAAAAGAGGGAAGGTCGGATGTGAACGATGTGAGCTTAGTAACTCTACCCCTTAAGTAAACTTCATCACAGCTACTAAAACTTCAAGGCTTGAAACTTGAACGCCCATGTTCCAATCACGATACAAAGAAATGAATAAAACAGAGTTTGAATAAAGCAAGAACAACAGTGCGGTGTGGTTTGTGCAGAATAGGAAGATGGTACCATCATTGCTTATTTCGTTGGCTTCTCATCAGCTCAGCTGGTTACAGTCTAAATAAATTATTATTAAGTTTATGTACAGAAACAACTTTAACATACTTTCAAATTTTTTCATGATGTCAGTTGACAGAGGGTTCTGAGATTGGTGAATAGTTCTGAGGAAATTGCGCTTATATAGTTTTTACACAGGCAGTTCAATTTTAAACAATATGCTCTTTTGTGCAGTTAAAAGTCGACAGACATCCTTCTTATGTTAACTCCGACTGTGTATACAAATTTACGTGTATCTTCGGGAGCAGTTACACATTGGGAGAACTGGAAGAAAGGCACACCTCCGATTTTCTGAACATGCTAAGCCGAAAAGCCCACGTCTCAAGGGAACAGATTCTTATAGTAGCGCTATTACCAGACATCTTCTCGACACGGGTTATGAGGTGGAAATTGAGAAATCCTTCAAAATTATCAGTAGACAAAGGAGTTCAATTCTCCTCAAGTTTGCCAACCGAAGCAATTTCTATCAAATGCTTGAAACCAGATTTATCTATTCAGAAAGAAGCAGTTATTAATCTTCCCCTACTACCCTGGTAACTGGATGTCTTTATTCTGTCTTTCATCTGATTATGTAATCTTCAGCTTTAACCTCACCCCCTTTGATATGGTGTAATTTTGTTTGTCTCTTGTTTCTATGATTTGAGTTGAACTCAGTACATTGTTACCTAATTTATTAATCACTCAACATCTTACGCATCTGTCCCGTCTTTATTACGTAACTCCTTTACCATTGTATGCATACATTTATTTTTGTTTAAACTTGAACTGCCTGTGTAAAAACTATATAAGTGCAATTTTTTGAGCACTTTTTACCAATTCCGGAACCTCCTGTCAACTGACATCATGAAAAAATTTGAAAGTATGTTAAAGTTGTTTCTGTACATAAACTTAATAATAATTTATTTAGACTGTAACCAGCTGAGCTGATGAGAAGCCAACGAAATAAGCAATGATGGTACCATCTTCCTATTCTGCACAAACCACACCGCACTGTTGTTCTTGCTTTATTCAAATTCATCAAGGGGAATAAATACATGAAGTTTCTGCAAAATAATAGAGTTAAAGGAATAGAGCAATTTAACTTGATAAAAATGCTTAAATAGTATAATATAGCCTGCATATACTACTAACTACCTCTTCGAACTTCGAAAGTAATATTATAAATATTGTCTATAAATAAAAATATAAAAGAAACCAGCATCATTTAGAGAATCATAAGCATTGCTAACCTGCTTGCTCCTAACCTTTAGCTTTTGAACTGAATTCTTTGTGGAGTAATAGCCATATACCAAGCAAGAGAACTAAACTACAATGAACCAGCTAACTAATATTCTCTGATATTCAAGGGTTGGTTTGCAAGGATTAAATTTGTTTTTACCAGCCACAGGGAGTATTGGACAGCTGTTTCATCCTGGCGTAGCTTGGGAATCATCGACAGTACGCACCCACAACACGCTGGGAGGTTCGAACCCAGGACTTTCTGGTTACAAGGCAAGCTGACTCGTATACCATTCAGCCAATGGGACGCGACCCGATTCAATGGTCAACCGATGAAATCTAACTTCTGCCAGTTGGTAATTTAACGTGATTTGGTCCTGATTTCCAATGATTCTCTAAATGAAATCAGAGTGCCACAGAAATCTACGCTTAAGAGTAATAGAAAGACAGACAGAGAGATAGAGGGAGGGGGAAAGGATTCTTACCTGGCCATATTTGATGCGGTGATGACGAAGAGGATGACGACAATAAATCTTTGGCAGCTGATTGTTTATCACTTGATAAATCAGTAATCAATGATAAATCGTTTAATTTATTACCATTTTTACCATTATTACCATTATTATTATTATTATTATTATTACAATTGAGGACATTTAAATTATGCGCTGAAAATGAAGTCAAATGATCCGGTGAACCATAATATGATGAAGGATTCGGCGATCCATTGATAAAATGACGATTAGCAGGGGTTGATTTCAATTCAAATCCCAAATTATCATTATTATTATTAGGATTATGATTAAATAATAATCGATTTGTATAAGCTGTAGAGTTGATTGTATTTTGTAATCTTAATTTAATATTTTCATTTAAATCATATAAATCAGTTGAATACTGTTGATGTTGCTGTTGGTGTTGGTGATGATGGAGGTGCTGTTGGTGTTGGTGTTGTTGTTGCTCTTGTTGCTGCTGTTGTTGTCTTATCAAATCTCTTTCAACAGCATCGAAATGTTCATAAGGATCTGGTGTATTCAATGAATGCTTATAGCGTAGTCGTAAACCTCTGGAAAAAAATAAATAAACGAACGAATGAATGAATGAACTACATTAGCATGATTATAAAATATAGTTAGACAGTATAAGGGAAAAAAGATCATTCCCAGTGAAGGCCAGTGATGATTAGATCTCGTGACTGTTAATTCCACCAGGCCCAGTGATTGTTTAACACCTTAAATGATGCACTCAGAGACATTGCGTTCCGACTGGAACATACAGAAGCTTTTAGCTTTGAAGTTTCAGCAACTGTGTGTTTTTCTTTTACAAGATTGGGTTGTTAGTCCCACATGCTCGCTGACCGTACAGATGGTCCGAAGTTCGATCCCCGGCCACAGACGCACTCGTTTACCTCGCTAAGCCGCTAGTAAGAATGGTAAAGAGGAAAGGTTGAGCATGAGGCTGGTTAGCAGCTCCACTCCGTAGAAAAAATAACCACCACTGCTATCGAAACTTTAAGCCTCTAGCTTGAAGGCGCCTTATGTTCCAGTGGGGACGTGAAGAAATAAGTAAAAAAGGAGCGCGATCAGTAAGACGACCTTTTTAGCAGTACATGAGTCGGTAATCGATCTCGAAATTCAAGCAAGACTGAAATCAGAGTGAAAATTTGCCTCGATCAGGATATAAGTAACAAAAGTGTAGATTTTCAAGCCTAATGTCAAACTACTCAATGCTTCTTTATGCTTAGGAGATTCGGTGTGCCATCGAAAGTAATGTAAATAGACTTCAAACTCTTATAAACAACAGTCTTCTCTCTAGATTGAAGATTAGACGGACAAAAAGCGACTCTGTCAGTCAACGAATCAACCTAGAAAATGGAAAAGTTATATAAAATGAAGGATAACATTGGTTTGAAAAGAATTAACATCCTAATTAAGTCTGAAATGCACAGATTGAATTCACTTTATAACGAGAAGTTTATATCATGTAAAAATGCCTCTAATATATGGAAATTTTTCAAAGAAATTACTGGTGGTAAGCAGATAAACAGTGTTCCTTATTCATTTGATGTGTGTACGTACACTAAACAAGTCTTTCATACATTCTCCCACAAAAATGACAAGCTTTCTAGTGTCACAAGTGTTTAATGAAACCTGCTTTCCTGATTTCAATAAAAATGACGTTCTAAAATGTCTCCAGTCGCCCAACTCTACTTTCAGCTTGTGGCCAGATGGTTTGCCTAAGCTTGTTCTTACAAAATTCGCACATATCCTGTGTTATCCTTTCAGTGATATATTTAATGAATCTTTTTCCAGAAATGTTGTGCCAACCATTTGGAAGGACATTAAAACTTTACCTATACCTAAGTCGTCTACTGGAACATGTTTTAAATTTAGACCTATTGCTAATACCTCTCCTTTTATAAAAACTATGGAAAAGTTATCATTAATTAATCTTCAACCTTCACTTAAAGCCTTTAACGATCCCAAACAATTCGCTTATAAACACAGTAGAAGTACTTTAGATGCAGTTGTAGTCTTGTGTCATAACATTGTCTCCCGTTTAGACAAAGGGGCTAAATTCGTTCACTGCACCTTCTTAGATTAAGCATCTGCTTTCGACTCAATACCTAGGGACATTCTGTTAAACAAGTTTGCTGAAACTCAAACTGACTGTTGGGTTGTCAAATGGCTGTATTCTTATTTCTCAGGAAGAAAGTAGTACACTGTATGTCAGGGGAAGTCGTTGATTTCACCACTTACTGAGGCTGGTGTCCCTCAAGGTGCTGCTATTTCTCCTTTTCTGTTTTCTTTTTTTTTGGCATGACCAGCCTAATACTCTGATGAAATGAACTTTTTTTAAGTATGCAGACGATCTAACTATTTCAATGTCTGTTAAATCCCAGCTAGACTGTACTAAGATGAAAAGCTTTCTATCAGGAATTAGCAAATGGTCTTCGTGTAACGGCCTTAAACTAAATCCTTCCAAATGTCAGACTGTTAATTTCAGTTTCCGATGTAAAAGAAAGTTAAATGAAGCTGTCGGTTCCAATGACCGTTGCAAAATTGATGACACTGATGTAGAAATCAAGTCTGAAGTTAAGTATCTTGGATTAATTCTTTCTTCTGACCCATTCTGGTCTTCCCAAGTCTTAGCGACTTCTAAAAGAATATTTCGTCTGATGTTTTATATTAAGAAGTTAAGGCACTTAGGCATAACTAAACCAAACCCTCCTCTTACAGTTTGTCAACTCGTCCATCTCACCTATTCTTCTTTAGTGTTCACCCTTATTCTTTCCTGGATTGCCTTAAAACCGACTATGTCATACTTCGTAGGATTGTGAAGTCTGACAGTAGGGCGACTGGTATCATATTGGGCCATTTCGTTGACATCATCATTGATAGGCACTTGATTTCATACAAGAAATTTGATTAAAGAATTTTGTCAGACTGTGAGCATCCACCACAGCACCCACAGCTCAAACCTTGTGTCTCCTCCTCAGGTAAAACAAGAAGTCATTTCAAAAGACTTTATGCACGTACGTCTAAGTATAAAAATTCCACTGTACCATATCTGGTGGCAAGTGCTTTATGTGATGTAAATAGTGTTAGGCATGAACTAACTAAGCTTCTTTGCACTAGGAAATAAACTATTTCTTCCACCCTTACAGTACCAAGCTTTATTGTTATTGTACTTCTTATATTTGTAATCCTCTCAAGTTTTTGTTTTTATTTATTTACTTTTCATAAGTGTGAACATCATTTAAGCTGTGTTATATAACTGTTAATTTTGTATTTCCCCTCACCATGCTGCTATATCAACAGAACGCTAGATCCAATAATCTATAACATGCTAAAGTTTCCCAACTGAATCGACAATACTGTTTGAAACAAACTCACTGTTATTATTATTATATTTAATATTCTCAATTCGTACTTTGAATATTTTTCACTTTATTCCTACTATAAAAGTGGACAAATTCCTGTAGTTACTTTTATTTATTTATTTATTTATTTATTTATTTATTTTGAATAAACTAGATGCAAGATGTTGTGACAAATGCTGAGAATTCCATTCTATATCATAAGTCCTGTGTTTTGGAGCCTCAGCAAATATCCCAAAGCTAGTGAAGGTGTACCAGAGACACTCTGACAAAACCACTGAGTGTCATTACACGTGAAGTAAGTCATTGCTCGAATGAAACCAAAATGTTAAACGACATGTTGAATATTAGTCTGAGGGTAACATGTATAAGGAGATTTTATGAAGATGAGATAACAGCCTGTAGGTAATCTTGAAGGCGACTCAAGACGACTACAAGGTACAGACAGAATGAAATAGCAATGAACCTCTCAAATCTTATCTTCTGTTTGAAGCCTAAAAGAAAACAACTTTTCCACTACCTACCAATTTTTTTTTTAACTGACGCCATTTTAGTGATGATATTTACATAGAAATTTGAAAAATAAACGAAGTAGTTGTAGTGGTAGAGTAGCATTCAAATTCCCTCTTGCGGTTATTCAATCACAACGTAGATGATAAAAAAGGGAAATATACACATTATTATTGTGTAAACAAAAACTAAGGTGTGGTGTAACTAATCCCCCCCCCGAGTAACCCGTGTATCCCCATCAATTTTATCAGATTTTTTTGGTGGGGGGAGCGGGAGGAGAAAGTGGGGTGTCGAAGGGAAATTTAACAAATACTGCCTCCACACCCCTGAAATGCTAAAATGTGTTTTCTCTGGCGATGACGATTATAATGACAAAAAGCCTCAAACAAACAATGAAGGGCGTTTTAAACCTCTATACATATATACATGTAGATACAATTGTTTACTTTGAAAAACCCAAAAATTGGCAGATAAATAGATAATCAGAGACGACGATGCTTAAGAGGAAACGTTGTAGATGGTGATAAGAATAAACTATGACGTGTGTGTGTGTGTGTGTTGGTGTATATTCTGTACACAGTATAGAAAAAGGTTGACTGGCTTCAAAGTTTACCAAATGAAAACGGATGCCCTTACCTAATTACTAGCCCGTATGTTTCCACATACACTCTCTCTCACACACACACGTATACAGGTACACACAGACTTTCCCTCAAGCCCTTCTTTGTTATCATTTATGTTTTGTTTTAAACTATATATATACATATAAAAGTGAACATTACTATAGTTATCGTATAAAATCGTGTATAAAATCTAAACTCTTACTTTTTCTCCCGACGCCCGCTTCCATTGTCTCGAAACCCTTTGGCGAATGGGTTATTGTCTATTTTCAATTGTGTTATCTAATAAAAATTTATTAGAAAAATTTGTGATAAATCGTCATTAGGAAAGATTCATTAAAATAGTGACAATAATCACATAATAAACTTAATATTGTAAATATTACGTAAAATTATTTAGTTATAGGATTGCATAACCTAGTCAGAAGCCTAATAATTAAGAAGTTATAAGAGTTAAATAATGAAATGAAAAGAAATAGGGAAAATCAGGAATATTACTGGACATCTGTATACACCCCCCCCCACCGGGTTCGAAAACAGAACTCTACGGTTACAAGGTGAACTCGTCAGTAGAGCCTACTCAATCAATTAAAATCTTTACCTAACAATGCTTGATAATTTATGTGATTCTTACTAATGACTGATTGTATATACAGGAAGTTGCCAAGAGTTTTAGTAAGACGTTATAACCAGACTGTCAGGGGTCCACCAAATTAAGCAGGAGAACATGACAGCCTGTGAAATTGCCTGATAGATGCACATTTTTCTTCTTTTCTTTTATTTCTTCACATTCCCAGTAGAACATAGGGCTACTTCAAGCTAGTGACTTGAAGTTTCTGTAGCAGTGGTGATTATTTTGTTTACAGGATGGGGTTGCTAGCCAGCCTCATGCTGGCCCAACCTTCCCTCTTGATGACTTAGTGAGGTAAGGGGGGAGTGAGTCGGTGGCCGGGATCAAACCCCGGACCATGTGCATAGTCGGCAAGCGTCCCCAACCTCTATGCCACCGACTCAATGGATATCTTCAGTACTCTTCATTCCCTAATAATAACAATAATAGTAAACAGAAGTTAGAATTCATGTGTTGGTCATTGAATCGGGTCGGGTCCTAGTGGTTGAATGGCATACGAGCCAACTCGCCTTGAAACCGGAAGATCCTGGGTTCGAACCCCCTGGTGGTGGGTGCATACTGCCGATGATTCCGAAAAAAGCTAGGATGACACAACTGTCCAGTACTCCCTATGGCTGGTTTTCAATAGTTCTCTAATCGACATCAATCCGTGATCAACTCGTAAAAAAACAAAACTAATCCTTACAAACCAACTAATAATAATAAAATGAACTGTTATAAGAATACTCTAACTTTTTTTATCATGTAAAACACAATTTGTATTACGTAACATGTTCATAAAATACTGGATATGAGCTGCACTAGGAATATGATCAGTGACACACCAGGCAAACAATGCATGTAGATCGAACTGACGTGCCTAGAATGGGACGAAACACTCGTCTTTAGTTTACTTCTCTACTAACCACCAACAAACAAATAACCTTATACTTTTTTAAAATATTTAATTCATTTTTGATATGATTTTTGTCATAAGAGAACACGAAAAAAGATGATAATAAATGTCTAGACATCAGTAATGCGGATAACGATAGCTAAAATAATGAAAACTCTAAAGTGGATTCACATAAACTATGCGCCTAAAAACCTGTTTTCGTTGAAATTTTACGAAGACATAGGGAGAGAGAGAGAGAGAAAGATATTCAAGGAGGAAACATGAAAGGGAAATTTCATCCCAAATTTACTAAAAAAAGTTTTTACATCAGAAATAACTGGCTCAACACCCGATGAATGCCTGTTAATACGGTATATTATTATTATTATTATTAACTATAATTCCGCTTATTTTATCTGAAGAAACGCGCAAAACACCCATCCACCCCCGTCGCCGATTCGACTCACCTCCAACATACCCGACACACTTCTAGGAAACTTTTCAAGGCATGAATTTATTAAAATTCAGACAACCCGTATTCTAGATCATATTATGATAATATTTATTATAATAATAATAGTAACAGTAATAATCATTGCTTATTATTATCTTCCTTTCTGATCAACTCTAAACAGTGTCATATATGTATAGACACGTGTTTACTGTTGAAAGTTGATCTCCTGCCATTTTGACCATATATATATATACCCACACTTCAATGAATAGCGCCACTGCTAACCAACCTCCAATGCCTATAGTGGTGACATACTCTCTGTGAAATGAATGAATTGTACTCATACACAGGGTATAATACCCTTTTTAAAAATGATTAACTTTTTGTATGTGTATTTGTCAAAAATTATAAAAATATCACCACCTAACCGCCTCTCGCCTTTTAATTACTTTGACTTTATGTATACTTCTACAGGATGTGCTTGCCTTTCTTTGTCTAACAATGAAAATAATAATAATAATAATGAGGTGTAGAACGTCTTGCCTACTTTCGTCAATGTTCATTAATGATGGATCCCCTTAAACGTATTAATTAAAACTTATGAAATATTTAGATTGATAGGAGGATAGACCGATTAGTTTAATAGTGTAAAAAGACTGTTAGTCAACAGATCATATTAAACTGAAGTGAATAATTTCAAAATAGAGTTTAATTAGTGAATGGTGGCTAGCAGTGGAATCCAGCCGGGATAACGTGCATTTCGTTCTATTTGGGACTCGTCAGCCAGTGGATGTCATGAGAACCACCTCTTGTGCAACGGGTCATATTAATTATTTTATTGAGTTTTAGATTTTCCTGTCGATTGATAGGATCGAAATGCTGGGTCTCAGATTGATATGTCGGCTTCTTCTGCAGATGCTTTGACGATGTCTGGGCATGTAATTAGAATTTTATTGGTGGATGGTGACTAGCATCTGACGAGTCCCAAATAGGAAGAAATGCGCCTTATCCTGGATTCCACTGCTAGTCACCATCCACCAATTAAATACCAATTAAATGCCCAGACATCCTCGAAGCATCTGCACAAGAAGCCGACATGTCAACACTTGAGACTGAGCACTTCGGTCCAATCAATCGACGGGAAAATCTCAAATTCAATTAAATAATTCAATTCAATTTGGCCCTATTCAGGTAGGTTTCTAGTGAGAAGTCGTGACCAGTAGGGTGCACCAGGTCGGGTGTGAAGACAAATACTCGCCACCGACGACACTGGCTAGCGGTTGCGCTATATCGTGAATTGGAAGAAGTTAGAATTCATCCACTGGCCATTGGATCGGGTCCCAGTGGTTTAATCGTCTACGAGTTCATTGACCTTGTAACCAGAAGGTCCTGGGTTCGAACGTCGCCGTGGTGAGTGCGTACTGCTTAAGAGTCCCAAACTAGAACAACGGAAACAGCTGTCCAGTACTTCCAGATTTTCCAATGGTTCTCTAACCAATGTTAGCTCATGATGAAATCCTGTAACCAATCAACCAAATCCCTACAAACCAATACTTGAATTTCGAAATAGTTTGAATTCAGTTCAGCTGATATGTGTCAAAAGGCTAAGAGTCATACTTGTCGTGTGATGAATGATGTTACTATCCAGCCGCTCATTGGCTGACAATTAGTCTTTTAATCCGATGATGTAGCCAATAGTTTTTTTTATGGAAATTGGAATGTATTCATCCTAGCCTTTTATAAGATCAGATCCACACCCAAAGTATCCTGGTGTGGAGTAGTGATTTCCCGGGTCGACTATACAGATCTATGACGCCTTTGGGGATCAGACCCAATACCTTCATGTAATGAGGGAAAGGCTAAGTGATGAGGTGATGTCTATTTAACAGTACACACTTATTAACTCGTCGGTGGCACGGTGGTTAGCACGCTTGCCGATTATGCATACGGTCCGGGGTTCCATGCCCGGCCACCGACGCATTCCCTTACCTCACTAAGCCAGTAATAAGACTGATAAAGAGGGAAGGTTGGGTATGAGGCTGGTTAGCAACCCCATCCTGTAAAAACAATCACCATTGCTACAGAAACTTCAAGCCTGTAGCTTGAAGGCGCCCTATGTTCCACTGAGAACTTGAAGGAATATAAAAAATCGTAGTTTGGAGCCATGAACTTCAGGTTAAAAGGTTATCATGCTGACTGTTATTATATAGCATTATCGTCATCCGGTGTCATCGGTAAACATTTGGCTCACACGCCACACAGTGGACTCCATAGGTAGCAGCTGATATGAACTCATGACAAAATCTACAATGAAATTTATCAGTCTTCATATGACTGAATCTTACCACACTGTAGTAGAGCTAAATAGGTGTACAGTGGCCTGCCCTCCCCCGCATTGATTTTGTGTGTCAGTGCTTCAGTGATAAGCGCGTGGAGAATCCTGATCCGGTGCTGAAGTTTCGCCTTTCCTCGATAGTAAGCCAAAAATGCAGGTTAAGTCTGAGGTTAGATACCTTATCGCGTAAAAACAAAAAATATCACGGCTAATGACATCTCAAAACTTGAAGCTTTATGCTCTACTCAGAAGACAAAGAATGTGGATAAGATCATATCTAAACTTGGTACTTATCGGTGAGGTCATTGACTGTTACTGTAGCGTATTCAAGTGAAAGTTGCTTCTATGCCAGAAATCAGTTGGAAATACTAAACAATTTCAAAAGATACTGACTGATAGCCATGACACAAAAGGTAGGTAGTTCATGTATCCTAGGGGATAATGCTTTGGTTTTCGTAACGATTGGTGGTAGTTTGGATTCATAGTAGGAACATCATCCATCACTCACTCACTCATTCATTGTATAGGATGTAGGTACATCCAGATGATGAGTTCTTAACAGAACGAAATTTCCATGCCGGGATTTCACTACTTGCCAACTTCTACCATATACTAGCATCATTAATAAAAAATAATTCTTGATTCGTTACAGGACTTCATCATGAGCTGAAATTCATTAGAAGACCATTGGAAGACCTGCAGGGATTACTGGACAGCTGTTTCGTCCTAATGCTTGATACTCCTGAGTAGTACACACCTACCAACCGGGGTTCGCACATAGGACCTTCTGGTTACAAGGCCAGGGAGCTCGTAGACCACATAACGTGACCACCAGCGATTGTCTTCGGTGAGTATTCATCTTCACACCCCCTACCTGCTGTACCCTACTGGTCATGAATGCACAGTCCATTGAATCGGGTCCCAATGGCTGCTGAATGGTCTACGAGCTCACTGGTCTTGTAACCAGAAGCTCCTGGATTCGAGCCCTACAAACGAACCCTTGAATTCATGATTCATCTTTAAGTGAAAGGAGAAAATCGTTAAAAAAAAGGATGCTTTTTAACGTACTCTTTCATTTTGATAAGCTGTTACAGCAATAAATTCTGTTTCATCGAAGATAAATGTTACAAAATCTGCCATATTCATTTTATTCAAATGATCTGCACGAACAATATGAAATCTTGGAATATACTTGTGCATTGAATTCAGTACAGCTTGCTAAAAAGTAAAGTAAGCGGAGGGAGGGGGAATAAATAAATAGATAGATAGATAGATGTGTATTAAGACTAGTCACAAACTGACATCACTTAGAGAACCATTGGAAACCACCAGAGAGTACCAGACAGCCGTTTTTTTTCACTGCGGTTTGGCAGTGTTCAGTGGTACACATCCATCACCCACCAGTGATTTAATCCAGTTCTCTTTATAAAATATATAGGCCCCAGTAATTCATAAGTTCAATAGATGTCTTAGCAACACTCAAGGAGTAAGATGACTAGCTTTAATCATTTATCATCCGTGACCAAATACCATGAGTGATAAGGCTGATCAGTTCAACAATCTTTTGAGATAATAATCCTGAAGACAACTAAAAACGACTTCCCCGAACATTTCATCCCAGAACCCATGAAGTTTAAATCACCTAGACTATCTTCCCTATAAGAATTCTCTATCCGAATTTAAATATCAAAAGTGACTCATGAGCAGAAATACTAAGAAACCACTTGTCCTGCTGATTGAAGAAAACCTTCTTCGCTGCTAAACTTTGATTAAACCTTCTCCATGAAACCAATGATTCGCATGATTGTGAAGGATAAAATACCACTGCTGGCCGCCTCATTAATCTATCACTTCACCTGCTCATTTAGAGCTAGATATGTTGGCTGTATTATTATTATTATTTTTATTACCTCCTTTAATTCCTAGAGGAACATAGGGCTTCAACCGCGCGTCTCCAATGCGTTCGGTTCTCGGCTACAGTTTTCACTAGGCTCCAGGTCTGCCCACATGTTTTCATCTCCTTTCTTCACATCACACTTCCTCCAAGTCACCCTCGCATTCTCACTCGCCACTTCCCAACCGGGTTCCACTTGAGGGCTTATCTAGTGATATCACTTGATGGTTTGTTTTCTCAGAGTATGGCCAATAAAATCCACCTCCATTTCTTCCCGCCTATTTGTTTCACAGTCGGTTCATGCTCTGTTGGTTCGCTCATTGCCAGAGATCTCTCCCTGTTGCTGATCTTTTCTGTCCAAGCATCTGATCTTGAGTATTGAGCAAAGACAGCTGTTAATGAAGGTCTGTAGTTTGTTTGATGTGCTCTTTATGACGCACCAAGTCTCTGATCCATATAGTAAGTAGCACTGACTTCACATTGGAGTTAAAAAGCCGCATCTTATTTTCATTTACATGCTGAGTGCTGTTGACCTCCACACAGACTTGAGCATAATAAAAGCTTGTCTTGCTTTTCCGATTCTTGCCTTGATATCCTCGTCGCTTCCGCCTGTCGTTGAAATGATGCTTCTCAGTTACATAGGTAAGTAAGTAAAGGAGGTTGTTTCTTCTAGGTTCCTCCGATTTATGCTGGCTGATTGTTGTCTGTTGTTGTTGCTTCTTCATCACCTACCTCTGTTTTCTCTATGTTCACCTGAAGGAAGTCCTATCTTCACTGGATGCTTCTTCTGTCAACTTGTTGCTTTTCACTTGCATATCTTCCAGTTTGTGGGAAATCAGATATATATGTGTCATCGGTGAAGTCCAGATCCTCAAAGTTTTTTGTGTAAGTCCATTTTATGCCTGTTTCCTCATTGCCCACCGTTTGTCGCATTATCTAATCTACTGCAATCAGGAAAATCATTGGCGATAGTGGATAGCTTTGCCTCATTCCCGTCCTCACCCACCCACCGTACCCATCGTTTTCTATCCAAATGTATCATTGAACACTTAACCTCATGGTTTTATAAAGGAGAAAAAAGTCCCCTCGCATCCGATAGCGCCCGGATAGCAAGCTAACCCACAAAACAACTTCAGAGTCATTTACAAAATTATGAATCATACTTCTTCAAACTGCGGAAGCCACGGTAATTCATGTGTTAAACCCTGAACTCTATATGCAGAAGAAGGTTATTCAATTATTAAATCCACAATGGACGTGTTTTTTTAATTGTATCATTTTCTCCTCCCTTCCCTAATGAATTCTTGCTGTCGCTAATTTGATTCTCATTTAGTTTTATTTGAGTTCTACTCAGTCTTTTTACTTTATCTGATACAACACATAGTGGTACAGTGTCAATAAGTGGATGACGTTTCGAGAACAATCTGTTGATCATAATCACACTGTACCAGTGTACGTTATATGGAATAAACTAATCTTATATGGAATCACATTCTACCACAATGCTGAAGCCGTATTATGATTTTATTATTATTCCCTTGCGTTCCGTGTGGAACATAGGGCTGGCCCCAAAAACACACCTCCACTTTCTTCTGTTTTCTGTCGTCCTCTTCGCCTGGCTAGCTCCACAATTGACCAAACTCTGTCATCTCTTCCTCCAACTCACACGATCTCCTCCGTGTCATCCTCGTAACGACGACCCACTCATCGCTTCACATTTGGATTCTACTTGAGCAGTGGCCTAACTGGCGTGTGACGTCATTCGGTGGCCTCCTCAATGACATATGCCCGATCCATTTCAATATTCTCCTGTATATTAATTCAGCCATCTGCTTTTGGTAGGTTTGTTCCCAGCCATTTGACCTTCAGTATGGAGCCAGCCAGTGAAGGTGGCAGCACTTGATGAAAGCCTGCAGTGGCCTGTCGGAAAGCTTTTTCATGACTGACACTCTGTGCAAATTTCTGACCCGTATACAAGAAGTGACTGACTGACTAACTGACTTCACATGGGTGTTGAAAATGTGAATCTTGTTCCTTATGCTGAGGCGGTGTGCAGAAGATTTCCAAACTGGTTTCACGTTGATAAAGACGTATCTTGCCTTTCCTATTCTGGCTATCTGACTTTGACATCTTCGTCCGTTCGTTCCGTGTGCCTATAGTTGTAACGATGCTTCCTAACCAGATAAGTGAAGGAGGCAACCTCTGTCAAATACCTCCCGTGGATGGTGATTGGTGCTTATTGTTGTTGCTGTTTTTGGTGGCTTTTCGTTGGTTATCTCCATCACCTCTGTCCGTCTTCTCTGTGTTAACATACAGTCTTGTCTCCATGGGGTGCTTCACAGCCAGTTTGTTGGTTTTCGCTTGCAAGTCTTCGAGTTTTTGTGACATCAGACATATATGATCTGTGAAATCCAGGTCTTCTAGAGTCTTCCTATCGATCAGCCAATGTATTCCTGATTCGTTGCCCCCCCCGCCAACAGTCTGAAGCATAATCCAGTCGAGCACCATAATTAAGAATATCATAATCGTTGGTGATAATAGGCAGCCACCCAGCCAGCATGTCTTACTCCTGTATTCACTTCGAATGCCTCATTGAGTTCTCCGTTGTGGATCACTTGACACGTGGCATTGTCATATAGAGCCAGTTGTTGAATAAGGTTGATAAAGACTCTTGAGCCGTAGTGTTCAAGTAGTTTCCTCAAGTTTGCTCCTTAACTTTATTTCAATTTCTAGTCGATGAACACTTTTTATATTACGTAATTTGGCTAACTGAAATTTACAATTCTAATGACATATGTTTGCATATACTCCTTTTGTTGCTAAGGCAGCTTACTACTTGTATAAATACATATATGCGATTGTGCATCTCTAACAGGTTTCAGACTTTTGCCAGTAATCGCTAACTTCGCTGGCTCCATATTGAGGATTAAGTGGTCAGAAAGAATCAGGGACAATAAACTATGCGAACAGGCCAACCAGAAATCTATTGCTCAGTAAAATTGCGGAAGATAATATAGATGGATGGATTGGGCACACTCTGGGGGACATCGCAAGCCAGTGGAACATGAATGGGAAACGAAGAGTAGGGCCTCAGTGACAGGATGAAACGGAGGAGATCGTGTGAGTTGAAGGAAGAAATGACAGATTATAGGCAGTCATGTGTGTCCAGCTGAAGCGGACCTCAGAAAATAGAAGAAAGTGGAGATGTATTTTTGAAACCTTTTGTTCCACTGGGAACCCAAAGGAACAATAATAAATAAAAGCATGTAACTGAATAGCTTGAGAACGATTTCGCTGAAAAGAATAACTCTTCACTGAACGCCTTTTATTTCATATCACTCAGTAGGGATATCTAAGTTGCTAGACTAATTTTTTTTTGAGTTAATATTATCTCCAGTGGTAGACTTCTTGTCAGTCATTCACACGTTTCGCATTCAACTCCCGGCTGCTGATTCACCGATACGATTATGACCAGTAAATTAGGCTCAAAGTTTCATCATTAAAAAGTACTGCAGCATCACTGGGTGATTTTACCAGTCTTCATCGCGGAAAATAGAGAAGGTTAGCTTGGAGGGGGAGTGGGCTAAAAAATCCATCCCCACTACTAGTAAAAGCTGCAAAGCTTAAATCCACATGTTCCACTGGGAACCCAAAGACATGAAAATAGAAGAAAAAATTGACTACTACTCACGTACACCCATATTTAAAAAAATAAAATAAAAAAATAACAATACACTAACTTACAAAAGATTGTCTTTCAGTAACATTATTTGTTAATTTTAATTTATGAAATGATATGGGCTTATGCATCCACTCTTCACCGGTTGTTGGAGAGTCTGGATGAATATACGGTTTACGATAGGGTTCAGGATCCGCCTTGCCAGCAATTGTCCATTTACCATTTTGAAATTTATAACGATGTTCATCACGTGAAACAATATCTAACAGCATAATATACTTGGCAGTTCTATCCAATCCAGTGACACGAACTTTAAAGGATGGAAACATTCGACTAAAAAAAGACAAGGAGAGAGAAAGAGAAGGAGATTCGATTATTGATTTTTTCTGTCAAAAAGAACACTATTTTACTTAATATGTGTATACAGAGTTTAGCGATATTTAATGAATAAATTATATGACTAGTTTTCTACGTAACAACTAGTGCCATCCCATATTGTCACAACAAGATGAAACTTCTTAGGGTGGATCAGTCAGTAACAGTGAGGAGTGAGGAGAAAGTGAAAACAGGCATACGTTGAACAGAAGGAAAGACAAATGAAAATGAGTACCTCTTGGACAAATTATCTCTAATGTCACACCACTTTCAAGATCTACAGGCCAAAACCAACAAGTTGGTAAGAAAAAAAGGCATCGAAGATAGGACTCCCTTCAGGTGGACAAAAAGAATACAGAGGTGATAAGGATACCCGATGAGGATTTCAAAACCAGCTATGATCAGGAGAGAAAGACAGTCGTTCATCACTCTGAAATCAGGATGGAAGTTGAATGTACCTACCCTAATGGCAAGTCAGTGTTTCTATACGATTCAAAGACTTATTGAAAGCGCTGTCGAAAGTATTTCCAACAGACTAATGCAAAGTGTTGGTTTGTAGGGATTTGGTTGATTGGTTACAGGATTTCATCATGAGTTGATATTAGTTAGAGAACCATTGGAAACCGGGGAGTACTAGACAGCTGTTTCCATTGTTCTAGTTTGGGACTCTTAAGCAGTACGCACTCACCACGGCGACGTTCGAACCCAGGACCTCCTGGTTACAAGGTCAGTGAACTCGTAGACGATTAAACCACTGGGACCCGATCCAATGGCCAGTGCATGAATTCTAACTTCTTCCAATTCACGATATAGCGCAACCGCTAGCCGATGTCATCGGTGGCGAGTATTTGTCCTCACACCCAACCTGGTGCACCCTACTGGTCACGACTTCTCACTAGAAACCCAGGTAACGACCTACCTGAATAGGTCGAGTCGCTAATGAGCATCTCATAGATATTTAAGTTTTGGTTTGTAGGGATTTGGTTAGTTACAGGATTTCGAACCCCGGTAGGTGTGTACTGCTGAAGATTCGCAAACTAGGATAACGGAAACAGCTGTCCAGTACTCTCAGGTTTTCCAATGGTTCTCTAACCAATGTCAGCTCTTGGTGAAATCCTGTAATGTAAACTTTCTTCAACAACTGCAAACACTCTATACTAAAGATCAGATGACAGGAAGGAAAAGCAACAATAGACAGGTGTCAGGCAACGAACCAACCAACCAACCAGGTACCTATGGAGATAGATTGAACATACATCCAGAGGACCGTTGAATGATACCACACTTTAGGTAGGCTCTAAAGTAGAACTGACATAGAAAGTGATGGGTTAGGCATGCGTTTCAATGTGAAAAGAAGGAAAATGTGTAACAGTCGCGAACAGTTAAACGGCAATGTGCTTCTGAAATCCGATGCTCCACTATTCACCCTGAGCGTCGGTGCCACAGAGTTAGAATGCTTCCCAACCACCATGCAGGGGTTTTTTTTATTCAATTTAACTCTCTCTCTAAGCTAATAATAAGACTGGCAAAAAGGAAAGGTTGGCCATAAGGCTAGCAACACTCCATCCTCGTAAATTACAAATGACAAATTTAATCTTATCATAGAAGTTTGTAATCCATATACTAACTAACTAAGTGAACACTTATCATAAGTGATTAATAAACCAGACAAATAGTATGAGATAATCATCAGCAGTACCAGGATAATCTCCAGATCCTAGTAGATTTATCCATCAGACAATTCGCACTTGTCTGAGATAAAACCATTTCAGACAAATATCCATTATCAATCACCACCACCACCACCACTGAATAAGGGGCTTATCTATAGAAAAGTTCACACAGAGTTCACTGCTCCCCTATAAATCCTCAAATCGAATATGATATCCAACATGATAAGAAGTGCAGAAGTGCACTTTGTGTTTGAAGGTGAGAAAAGATTAATCACACACTCAGACGCGCCCACACCCACCCACACACACACACACATACATCACACAACTTTCATCACCATTACAAGATTGCCTTCTTGTTTTCTTTTAAAACAATGGCGACGAAGATGGTGTATAGCTTGGGGGTGGGAGGCGAAAAGGTTGGCGTACACTTGAGAATAATGATAATAATACGCATAAAACTGTCTGTATGAGCAAATAAAGTGACCTAGTTACTGAAGTATAAGTGGATTTATCTAAGATTTGATGATAACAGGAGACAATAGAAACAAGGGATCATAAATTACTGTAGAAACCTACACACACACACACACATCAAAAAAATACACCGGATATTGTGTACTTTATTGAAGAACAAGAAGTGTTAATGCACTTGTAATATAAAACAATAGGGACATGGTAACATAAAAGTGAAATAATATAGTTATACTATAAATAATAAATGCTTTTATCATCCACTCAGTGTGGTGTCGTCCAGAGGAGAGCCTTTCAACATTCACACATTAAAATAAATTTTATATATTATATACTACTATAAAAGATTAACAGATTACAACATGGGAAATGTATATAAAGGTGGTCAGTGTAGTGGACATGGCACAGTCCAAGGCAGTAACAATCAGCACTTGATATATTAATGTATATGTATCCATACATATAATATAACATAATAATAATAATATACAAAACCTGGTAAGAGTGATATAAAGCCTTCGTTTGCTTGTCTCTTCATCTACCTGTCTATCCACCTTTCTGTCTATCTGCCTATCCATCTGTTTGTCTACCCATCCCACCTACTCTTTCGGGTTATTTATGTTTTCACAAGTTTTCATGTTCAAATTTCAAGGAATAAAATCAATAAGAGAAAGGAAAAAAATGGCGCATGTATATTTGTCTAAGTGTTGATTTATATTGGAAGAAGGCGTAAAACATTATCTCTTTTGTGTGTGTCTAAGTGTGTGTGTGTGTGAGAATAGAAACTATTCTCTATAAGACACAAACATCTCAAAATAGTAAGCCTTAGTAGTTAACTTGACATGGATACATATACCAACCACCCACCCACCCCCGACACATGCACGCACACACTCCACTCCCCTTGTTGTATCTATCTACTTTATGGATAGACATCAGGAATAATAAAGAATGAAGTGAACTTTACACTTTCCTTGCCTATTTTGTGTGTTACTGTGCTGCTGTTATCTATATGTGAGCATTTAAAAGATTTCACCATAAAGAAAGTACCGCTTTGTTTATGTATATTGCTCGACAATGATACTACTTCGACTGCTCACAGTACTACTGAGATAAGGATTCACCACAGTAGAATACTCGCCAAACCATGCAGGCAATCCAGAATCGATTTTTTTTTCTGATTTACAGCTTGATTCCACACTGTATTTTTGGTACAAGTATGGAATTTTCAGCGTGGATATCGGTAGCCCAAATTTTGCAGGCCGACCATAGATATCAGATGTACGCCGGCGTGGGCTCGAACCCCAGACCATGTGCATGGTCGGCGAGAGTCCTAACCACTGTGCCACCGACGCACTAACATACTATTAAGCATCGGTTGGAAGTATGGTTCAGAGGGGAAAGTTGGGTAATAAGGTAAGCGACCCTAATTCTGTTTAAAAAAAACGACCAGAGGCTACTGATATTTCAGAGATCAAGTTTGCAGCTATGTGTTCCAATTGTAGTAACACTTCTGCCTACCAGTAATTTCAAAGTAACATACTTCTCGAATAGGCTTGAACCTTTTGTGTGTCAGATATATTATTATTGTTTCGCTTGGTTTCTCGAGGAAAATAGGGCTTCAGCCACACGTTTCCAATGCATTCCCCTCTCTGTCAACCTTTTCACCTGGCTTCACGTCTGCCCACATGCTTATATCTCCTCTCTTCGCATCACATCCTCCATTGTCACCCTCACACTGACGACCAGCTTGTAGCTTCCCATTCGGGTTCTACTCGAGCAATGGTCCGGCATGGGATTTCCATCACTAGATGAATTATTTTCTCAGAGTATAGCCAAGCCAATCCACCTCCATTTCTTCCTCCATATTTCTTCCACAATCGAACTTTGCTGGGTTGGTTCGCTCCCAGAGATCCCTCCCCATTGCTGATCTTTTCTGGCTATCTGATTTTAAGTAATGAATGAAGAAAGCTGTTGCTGAAGGTGTGTAATTTGCTTGAATTGGCCAACGTGACGCACCAAGTCTCTGATCCATATAGTAAGTAGCACTGACTTCACACTGCAGTTAAAAAGCCGCATCTTATTTTCATTTACATGCTGAGTGCTGTTGACCTCCACACAGACTAGAGAGAAATGAAAGCTTGTCTTGCTTTTCCGATACTTGCCTTGATATCCTCGTCACTTCCGCCTGTCGTTGAAATGATGCTTCTCAGTTACGTAGGTAAGTAGGTAAAGGAGGTTGCTTCTTCTAGGTTCCTCCGATTTATGCTGGCTGATTGCTGTCTGTTGTTGCTGCTGTGGCTGTTGGTGTTGGTCAGGAATCTTCATCACCTACCTCTGTTTTCTCTATGTTCACCTGAAGGAAGTCCTATCTTCACTGGATGCTTCTTCTGTCAACTTGTTGCTTTTCACTTGCATATCTTCCAGATTGTGGGAAATCAGATATATATGTGTCATCGGTGAAGTCCAAATCCTCCAAGTTTTTTGTTTGAGTCCATTTTATGCCTGTCTCCCCGTTTCCCATTGTCTGTCACATTTTCCAGTCTACCGCAATCAGGAAAATCATTGGAGATAGCAGGCAGCCTTGAGTACATTTTAAGTATCATCTTCTTGAGTCTCATGTTCACTGATATCGTGCTATTCATCTGCATTATGCTGTACATATACTTGAAATTCAATGAGTTATCTGCCGCTGATAAGAAACTGACTTTTTATTTATAATTTACGCCCAATGTGGAACGTGGAACAGGTTTCAAGCATTGAAAGTCTCAACGGCAATGCTACTGTTTATTTTATTACGAGTTAGAATTG